GGCAGAGGGAGGTGAAGCTGGGAAGGGCGAGCCCGGCGGGTCCCGGGGAGATGCCGGCGGCGGCGGCGAGCTSGGTGCCCGATCCCCGGCAGCCTTTCCCCTGCCGGCTCCCGCGGGGCCTGGCAAAGCACTGTCAGAGCTGCCAGGCTTATCTTTAGCTCTGTTCCCTCCCTCGCCCCCGCGCCCACCTCCTCGCCGCGCTCCGCGTCCCGGCCCCCGCCAAAACACGCGTTATATAAGCGCTCGCAGAACCATCTGGGGCTGAGTCAGCCGCGAACCCAAACGGACAGCAAGCCCCCGAGCCGGGGATGCCGACCCACGGAAAACGGGCTTTTGGGGCCATCCGCCGGCTGGTGACACCCCTGGGAGCCCGGCATCCCCACCCAGACCCCACGAGAGGGGAGCCTGGAAGGGAACAGCCCCAAACTGGGGGTGGGAGCGGTGCTTGGGGTCGTCGGGTAAAGAGGGGAAGGTTTAATTACACACTACTGAGGTATTGCCAAAATAACTGTGCCAGCTGCAGGGAGAGAGGAGAGGGAACATGGGMTGGCTGGGGAAGGGGTTGATCTGTKAGCTCGCAYGCATCTCCTCCCTCTCCATCCTGATATCCCACGGGAAACCCTTCGCACTTCTTCCCTTCAATCAGCACCACCAAGCCCAGTTTTACTCCAAATTTTTTTCATTTGGGATTTCTCCCCAAAGCCCAGGGTCAGGACGGGACATGTCCTTCACCTCTTTCTTAAARATCACCGTTTTTCCCTGTGAGCAGCATCTCAGGAGCGTTTGTGACCTGAACTTTGCAGCATTGTGCTGATTCACAATGGCTTGTCACAAAAAAAACTGCCTGAAAGTGACAGAAAAAGGGACGCTGACTCATGTGTTTGCCTTCCCTGAGCGAGGAGAAATGTGAAAGGTGAACAAAGTACTTAACGGGTGATAATTACATTCTGTGCTGAAAAAAAAAAAATCAATCCATATGAATAAGCCGGAGTGTTGTTRCTAATAGAGGCATTCTACAATTAAAAAAAAAAATTAAAGTATTTGAGGTTTTTAACCTTGACGGTGACCTGTTAACAACAAGTGTAAGGAAACCCCTAATTTTRTCCCACTCACAATTATAAATCTGTGTTAAGGAGAAACTCCAGCCACCGCCTTCCTGGACTCCCCGCAGGATGCTGGAGACTGCTTCCCTGGCACTATCCCATTTTTCAGTGGGATGAAGCCTGGTGTGGGATGGCGTGGGCGAGGTGGCCCCTCTGGGAGAGCTCTTGGCATTGCCATGGTGGAGGGGGAGAAAGGAGMTGGAGAGGCTCCACCTTAATGTAGGATGAAAAAGCAAATTGCCAGCGGGAGAGCAGAGATGCTGCTCCGTTACTATGGTTACCCCCAGAGACAACCCAGCATCCCTGGGTATCGCCCTGAGGTACCCGAGCTGCTCCCGGCCACCTGGAATGGCACTGGGGCACCTCGGGTGGGCAAASGGACCAAAACTTGGTGGGGTTTGTAGGGTCTGAGGTCCTTGGAGCAGCCCGGACAGAGGATGAATCCAGGCTGGATGGAGAAGCAGCATCTCCAGTGGGGCCAGGGCAAAGCTCCTGCCTTTGTCCGGCTGAGATCAGGTCCTGGTGGGAATCCAGAGTTCCCAGCCCCTCTGCCCASTCTCTAACCCACCCAGACTTCAGTGGGTTTGAGCCAAACCCATCCAAGCTGATAAAAAAGACACCCTGATTTTGGGGAGGCCAGAATCATCTGCAAGGTCTCAGAGTGATGCTCTGCTCTGCTCCCCTGAATCCAGACGAAAAAAGGCAGGAGGGCAGTCAGTGAGGGCTGGTGCAATGCTGAGTTCAGAGGGGGTTTTAGCCCTTAAAGACATCTTGAGTATTAAAAGTGGGGATTGCCAGGTAGGAAACAGCCCCAACCCCRCTACGCTGGCTCCCATCCCTGCTGAAAACTTCCCAGCCAGGCCTGAGAGGTGTGAGCAAAGTAATCGTCCTCAGAGCCACCCACTGCCTTCCCACCCCTGCTGCTCCCACCCCTCTGCTCAGCTCTTGAAGATGAGGATGGCCGAATYGGGAACAAAGCAAGGACCAAACAGCCCGGCAGCACATTTCCCGCGGTGCCAGCATCACCCCGGCTCCCCGGGGATTTCTGCACCAGCAGCCTCCGAGGGAGGAATTCTGGAGGCAGTGGGAACCATCYCCAGGGAGCTGCCGGCTCCTGAATCATTAAACGCTTCCACAAATGAAGCGCTGGGGTTTGTAGTGCAAACGGCTGCTGGAGGAGTCACCGCCGCATGGCACAGCAAAGCCTGGGAGCGGAGGCACGGGAGCCGTGGGAAGCTGCTGCACGGGCCCGTGCGTGTCCCCAGGAGAGAATGCTGCCAGGGCCCTGCCAGAGCATCCCCCGCCTCCTCCCTGGCATTTTCCTTCCCGAGATCCCAGCCCGTGCTTTGGAGCAGAGTTTTTCCCATCTCCTCTCCTGCCCGCCTCTAACAGGCCATTCCCGTCCCCGAGAAGCCCCGCTCCTCTCCTCAGCAGGAGAAAAGCTTCCAGAAAAGCATCTGGTCCAGATTTAAAGGAATTAAGAGACAGAGATTGGTGGCTCGCTGTAATGGCTAATCATTATTAAAAGATCGCTCCTTATTTCCAAGATAGATTTGTCTGGCCTCGGCTTCCAGGAAGAGGTGGTTGTTCTGCCTTTCCCTGGTAGATTAAGTTATCCCTTCGTCCCRGTGTATCCTCCCCGTGATAAATGCTGTAATCAAGTCACTTCTCAGTCTCCCCCTTTGCTAAATTAAACAAGCTTTCCTCTTAAATCTCGCTTAGCCCYGGCCCTCTCTGTTGTGATTATAGTGAGTGCTGCCAGGGAATATTTTTAAGGAGTAAAAAACATCCTTATGGCAAAAGGGATGGAGCTGATAGGACTCAACAGAGCATCAGTGGTGGGTGGAAATTATCAGCCCCTGGTCAGCTGAAGAGGATTCAGCGCAGTGCTCAGSCTAAGGAGTGATGATGGATAATTTSCCCAGGTTATCTCAGTACACGAGCCCCATTCCCTGTAGCAGCCAGGTGTGAAAGCCAGGAGGAAAATCCAGGATGGCAAATCCAGGGGCTTTGTGTCCACTGGGCCATTAACCACTCCGTAAATAGCATCTCACACASTGCCTCCGCTTCCCTTCAGCCGTGACACACCGTTAAAGACATTTAAACTGTCACTTGGACACGGCGTGATGTCCCCTGAGGTCCCCACAGGAGGCAGTGGCCGTAGGAAAGAGATCCTGGCGGGGCCCAAGGGGGACCAAGGACACTCTGGGAAGATTTGTTGGGTCAGCCTTGGATGGCTGGGCCCATTCTGCCTGAATTCCAGACACATTTCCCCATCTCCGGGCTCCCTGCACGGCTGAGCCGCTATGCTCCGGTCCCATGGGCACAGCCTGACAGGGCTGTATGTGGGGGGACCCTGCAGAGCCCCCCGTGATTCTGAGCATTCCTGCAGCAAGGAGGRAAATTATCCTGCAGGATAGCCAAAAAAATTCAGGTGTGTGTTTTCTGCTCCTGCCTAGAGGCAGCGGGATGGATATTTGCTAAAAGGCTCTTAAAAATAATCTCTGTTTGTCCTGCTGGCCCCAGTCTTGCTCAAAGTTTGCTCCACATATCCTGTATGTGTGACAACTGACAGACTTGGAAACACGTTGGAAGTTGGCTACAGGCAGACACTTCACTATGATCTTTAAAATATACAGCATGACGCGAGATATTTTAAATAGATCAAAATACATTTATTACATATTTATATTATTTTCTCTAGTCTATTTATATCTTTTGGAGACTCTTATATATAATATATATAATATATTTAAAATAACATAAAATTGGCCAGTTTTGTCATCTGAAATACATTTTACAAATATATATATACATTGTCACATATATCTCAAATATATGTGCAATGAGACAGAGAAACGACCGGAGGTGGAAAAGGTACAGAAAACTTCATTGCATCCCTCAGCTTCTCTACCACCGTGGCCCCAGAGAACAGATTCAGCTTTCTACCCCTGGGAAACCAGTGCTCCTGGTTGTGAACTGGAGCCGGGTTTCGGTCCCCAAACCCACACGGGGCCAAGCACTGGGTGGAGATGGAGGGGARATGGGAGCAGGACAGATGTGCACAGCTGCTGGGCGAGGGGATGGGTGGCATCACATCAGGCATCGTCCCACGTCCTGTCCCTGCTGGTGACCTGTGTGAGTCCTGCCCTGTGCCAACCCCAGCATGGCAGAATTCCTGAATTGCGGGGTGGGAGAGCAGGGTGAGGCCGGAGTGCCGGGCACAGCTGCCACAGCTCCCTTGGGTGTGCCAGGAACGGGAGGGGGACACGCACAGGGGACTCTTTTGGTTGTCAGCRCGAGAGGAAAGGAAAGAGCGGGAGGGTTTAAAAATAAACGTGTTTGTTCTGCCTTATTAAAGATAGAAAAAGGTGGCTCTGAAATCATCTCCTACAAAAGGTTTGAAGGTCAAGCAGGCACCGAATCGCGAAAGGTTGAGCGCTAAAGTGATTGTCCCAGCCCTAAAAGACAAAGTGCACTAAATTCGGTGATGAGAAGCTAAGGCTCGTCCCGATGACCCCCCGTCTGCCAGGGCACAGAGGTGGATTCGGGGTGCAGGGGTGCGGCTGTTTTCTGCCCTCACTGGGGTATTTTTTAGGGTGAAACCAGGCGGGAGCAGCAGCAGGTCCAGCTCCCGACCCCCGATCCCCGGCCYGGGGCAATCCCTGCGGGACGCTGGCCAAGAGGATTAGCGGCTCTCGCCTTCCTCGGACTCCTGCCATCCTCCGAGGATCGAGTGCACCGCCGGAGTGAACTCCACGGATGGAGATGGCTTGCTCGAGGAAATGGCCGGCGGCTGGAGGGTTGGTTGTTTTTTTTCTTTTTTTTTT